GACAGAAACCCTGGCAAAATGCCACCTGGAAGGTGAGAGGAGCAGAAAGTGGAGCCTGAGACACTACCACTGTTGTTCCAAGTCACAGTGCCAGCCCAGGCCACCCTGGTGAGATCCAGCCACGAACCTCGACCCCAGCATACTGAGTCCCTGGGAGGTGCGGTTCCATATCCAGAAAAGAGAGGGTGACTGGGCACTTAGGGTAATGTCCTCAGAGTCATCACAAGAGCCACTGTGGACAGTCCAGGGCTCAGAACTGCTGAAGGATCACCTTCGGCTTCAGGTCGCAGCTGAACTTGTTCATCCTGAAGAGCTCGCTGTCGTAGAAAGCGGAAAGGTTGTGGATGTTGATCTGCCGGGCCTAAAACAGGAAGTGTCAGTGAGCTGTGAGCAATGCAAGGGTGAGTTGTTTCCTGGGGCTTTCTGGTTCCTTCATTGCCCACCAGGCCTGTACCTTGTCCACCAAGTCCTTCTCAGGCACCTCGATCGTGTCCTGCTGGGCCCCAAAGCGGTTGCGCTGGTAAGTCACCTGCTCTGCCACCAACTGCTTCAGGATAAACAGCAACAGCTCATTGTTGTCTCGCCGGAATGAGAGATAGCGGGCAAAGGTCTGCAGGAAAGAGCACAGGTCAAATGCCACCCCCTGCCATCCCTGCCACACTCCTTCAACAAGGCTCCAAGCAGCCAGAGCAGGAGCCGGGCAGCACCCTGGCAGGACAACCACCCTGGGGTCCTAGCCAGAGCCCCCAGTGTCACCCACCTTTCGCATGCTGCGCATGACACTAAACTTCTGGGTGTCGATAAAGCTCTCCAGCATCACGCGGATGGCCATGTTGACATCGTCCTCGATCACGTAGTCCCGCAGGTGGATGCGTGCATGGGCCTCTGCCATGCGGATCATGGACTCAATGTGCCGCACCGTGATGGGGATGCTGCCTGTGGCCTGGTGGGAAGCATGGGGGGGGGGTCTTCCTCAGGAAGGGGAGGATGGGGCAGCCAGGACCAAGGAGGCTCAGTGACAGAGACAGCAGAAGGAGCACCTGACAGCCCCTGAGCCTGGGGAGGCTGAGGACTACAATGTGTCCCCAGGACACCTGCAGTGTCAGTGTCACCAGGACACCCAGCTGGCTTGCAGCTCAAGGTCTGCTGTACTTACAGCCAGCTCTGCTGGTTACTGTCACAAATCATAGTTGCAGAATCCACAGCAACATAAATAAGAAAACAGTGTTATTTCTATGAACACTAAGGTGAATGCTCTGGTACAGTTAAAAGGCACAAACGAAAACAAAACATTCGATGTCATGATCTGGAGTGGGTGACAGAGGCTTCTACGAGGACTCTGGGTGCCGACTGCCCGAGGGCTGCTGGGAGGCCCTGTCCCACTGTGATGAACCAAAGAGTTCAGACCCAGAGTTCATCTGGCTGAGAGTTTATGAAGTCACTAAGGAACTTCATCTGAGGATGACAAGATGGGATGAATGCACGTAAAGTTCCATCTGTGACAAAATGCTTGTAGTACAGAAGTTATCTTTTCTCAGTGGTGCTGAGGATGGAACCCCAGCCTAGTGTAAGGTAGATAAGTGCTCTACTGCTGAGCCACCCCCTCAACCCGGAAGTCTCCTAGTGCTTTGGGGACTGACCCCTCAAGCCTGCCCAGGCTGCCCAGGCCCTCACCATGGACTCCTTCCGCAGGTCACTGTACATCTTGGCCACCTTGTCCTGGTCCATCTGGTTGAGCTTTGGGTGGACCCTCTCCTTGGCATAGATGATGTACTTCTTCAGCACCTCCTGTGGCAGTGGCTCCACGTTGTACGTGTTGGGCATAGCAGGCTCCTGGGCACTGCCAGCCAATCCCTCCTCGTCCTTGTTGCTGGGGTGGTGTCGCACATGGCTGCCAACCACAAAGCGGGCCAGCATCTCATCCTAGGACAGGCAGCAGAGGGAGCTGTACACAGTGCCCCAAGACTGCATCATCACACTGGCTCTATGGAGGCACCCAGGTGAGAGGGAGAGAAGCCGGACTGGGGGTGGAGAATGCAGGGGCAGGACCAGAAGGACCAGTGGGCAGCCGGGGAGGGGATGGGTGAGGAAACAGAAGGGAGGAGCACATTGGAGGGAAGAGAGCAAGGGGACAAGACTGCACAAGGGCCACCTGTGCCCACAACGAGCACGGGATGGCTCCGAGGGCTGTACCTGCACAGGGTCCACAGTGTCCCTCACCACACACAGGATGTCGAAGCGGGAAATGATGGGCTCCGTGAGGTCCACGTTCTCTGAGAAGGTCAGCGAAGGGTCGTAGCGTCCCCCTGAAACACAAAGGAGCCTCTGTCAGGTCAGTGTCCCCAGGCTCTGTCCTGCTCAACCCTGAACGCGTTCCCCAAGGCTGGCCCCTGGGGGAGGAAGGAAAGGCATCGTGGCTGGGGAGGCCGGCAGGGACCCCAGGGTCTGCTGTCAGTGGATCAGGACAGAGACAGTGCCTGCCTCCTGGAGCGACCCTAAAGGGCCTGACTGGACAGAAGGCAGCTCCTTGGGGAGGACCCATGGTGTGGAGAAGGCGCTGGGCTGTTACTTCCCGCCCTGCCCAGCTCAGGCAGGGGACTGGATTTCTCCTGAGGGGCCTGTGAACACCCAAGAGAAGTGGTTCAAACCGGACCCCCAAACCAAGCCAGGTACCCCGAGTCCTGTGGCCCTCAGCACTGGAGTCTGGACCTTACGGGCCCCACCTGGCATACCTA